ACTGGGTTCTCCAGGTCAATCCTCATAGGTCATGATGTCTAATTCACTAGTTGGTAAAGAAAGTTCTAGACTCCCTAACCTTCAGAAAATGAATGAGGCCATCTTTCCTTCTCCTGCAACTTCTGAACCCAGAAACAGTGGAAGTGGTCCAGTGAGATGTGTAAAAGAGAATCTGGTCCCCTGTTGTGAGAACTCTGAGGGTCAGCTGGACCCCAGGGTGAGGCAGGCTTTGTAAGGAGGGGGTGCTGCTGCTATGTAGCCCCTAACTCCTTCTCAGCAGCCTGGGTGCTCCATTCTATGTGGAGAGAGGTCTTGGTTATTGCCTGGCGTCAAGCCCTTCCTGCCTGGCGTCTGCTCCAAGGAAGGCAGACAGACTCTCTGGTTAGTGATCTGGAGAGTGTACTGAACACGCCCAGTGAAGCTCTTATTGGCTTCATTTTGATAAGGTCAAATGGATTTCAGAACCTAAGTTGCCTTCTATGTATCTGTGATATTGACCACAGCAGGGGTATCCTTGGCCATCACTATCATGATGCAGAGGTCTGCCAGGCTGTTTCTGTCACAGCATTGGGAGTGCCCTGAGTCTGGACTCAGTCACGTCCACCAACTTAGCCTTTAGTTGCCACAGAGGTCGCTTTCTATTACTCACTCATTGTCATTGTCATTCTCCTTTGTCTCCTTTGGGTATGAAGGGAGAGGGGCCTAAACTTTCTCCCTTGAGAGAGACAGAGAGCCCAGGCCTCTGCCACAATCAGCCCCATCCCTCTTTTCTAAACCGGGATTCAAACACGCTCGTTCTAGACAGCGCCTCTGGTGAAGCTACAGGATGGGGTCCAGGTTCTGAAATGATGGGTTATTGTTGTAGATGGGGAACGTAGTGAGGCTCTGTCTGATGTCCCTGAAAGCCTGGCCATAGGAAAGAGAAGAGAGTGGCTTCGGTTTGGAGGTCCTGGTGTGGCTTGGGAAGTGCCACAGCCTCTGAGCATCAGTTACCTCCCTGGAAGAATGGAGGTCTGCCATTTATGCCTGGAAGTGCTTCTCTGAGGACCCATGAGTTGTGCAGGGAGGGTTGTCAATTAGAAGGCCAGTGTAAACAGAACAGCAAGCTTAAATAAAAAACCCAAGTTTTCTTAGGATTGGGGTCCAGGTTCCTCAGGGGTTAGAGAACAGAAAGCTCTAGAAAGTGTATTTTAAACCTTGGATCTCTGACTTGCTTGCAAAGTTGTGGTGCTTGGGATGAGGCTTCGGACACCCTGTCCTCACCGGGGCCAGTTTCAGCTATTCCTGTGTGTCTGAGGGGATAGTGAGATTACACCGTGAGAGGAAGACCTGGAGGAGGAGCTTAGGGAAGGCTGCAGTTTCTGTGTTCACACAAACGTGCACACACACAAGAGCAGGCACACACATGTACACACACATGCACAGACAGACAGATGCACACATACATGCACACACAAACACCCATGAGATTGCAGCATCCATTTCCTCTATCTGCACAGAGGCACTGTGGCTCTGATGGGAAGCCCACCAGTCCCCACAACCACTCCCCAAATCCTGCCACTCACCCACCATCAGCTCAGTTTCCAGCTCTCACCAGCTCCTGGTGTGATCTGGAATGCCTGGCAGTCCTGTGAAAACCTGGACACCATGTCTCTAGAGATGAACAGCAATAGAAAAACCATCACTCCTTCTTGGGTCTCCGTTTCCCTTTTCGTCTTGACTGCACACCATCTTCATCTCATCAGTGGTGCCTCAGCTTGCCAGTATCACTCTCAGAAAGTTCTTACCCAAACTAATTCACACCCTGCACTCTATCGGGTGTTGCGGCTTCTGCTCCCCAGGAGTGTGTGCTCACATGTATGTGTGTGTACATGCAGGCTTTGCTCACATCAAACAAAGTTGTTAGATAAAAACCCAAGCTCACACTAATGATAAATTAGGGGACAATTATTCCCTTTATAAAAGGATTCCTGATAGGGTTCCCCTAGTGCGTTTATAATGCAATTCAATTTACACCATATTCAGCAGTGAAGGGAGGCTCTCTCTGAATAAACAAGAGCTTGTGTAGGCAGAGTTCTGAGCACCGTGGAAGGAAATAGAGATACCAAAGACATTTTTATTCCTGGTAACGATGAGTTATACTAGTGCCCGGGAACAAAGGCGACCCCACGACAATTTCTTCCACTCAGGAGCACTATGATGGCTTATAGGACTACGGGAGGAAGTCCCTCGCTGCTTATGTGTCTGCCTCAGGCTGGGAGCACTCAGGGCATCTAGGAGCCAGGAATGTTGGCTTTGGTGTCAGGTACAGAGAGGGAAGACAAGGAGGATACCGTTCCTGGGTTCGATTTTTTTTTTTTTTTTGGAGATCTTTTAGGCTCAGGGTACCCGAGCTGAGGCAGTGGGGAGACACTGTCTGGAAAGGATTCCCACACAGCTCAAGGGCCTGACACCTAGCACTTTGCAGACATCCGTTTTTCTATATTGCCCCAGTGTCCTG